ATGGATGGATGGATGGATGGATGGATGGATGGATGGATGGATGGATGGATGGATGAATGAGTGGGTGGGTGGGTGGATGGATGGATGGATGGATGGATGGATGGATGGATGGGTGGATGGATGGACGGATAGATGGAGAATGGATAGATTGATAGATAGATCGACAGATAGATTGACAGATTGATTGATTTGGGGGAATAAGATTATATTTAAGTCTTCTACAAATCTATATTCTAGCTAGGCCCTATTATATGGCTAGATTTCTCCAAGTTTCGTACTGAGATCTTCTTTTCATTTCTTGAACAACATTTTGAATTAGGAATTAAAGTTAAAGTTTAAATCGCACAGTAAATTGGCACCAGATCACCTAGCTCTCGACTGGTAGAAATGTCTGAAGTTATTCCTTTCCCTGTTAAAAGAGAGATGAATTGCTAAGGCCTAGGTGAGATGAACCAAAGAAAATTTTATAACAGAAGAAAAAGAGATAGTCCGAGACCTACGGCCTAGGTGGAATATCATATATATGAATGTGTGTGTACAGTGTATTCAAATGCTCATGTGACATTGTGAAAATGTTCTGTTACTGTTCCTGTTAGACCAGGTTAACCTTTATTGTTGATTGTGATGCTGGAGCAGAGCCAGGGCAGTTTGAGCTAGAGTCTTTTCCTGTGGTCTAGGCCTGCCTAATGTATATAGACTTCTGCACAGTCTACACTGCACTGCTAAAATCGTTACGCAGTGGCTACGTTCCCGGTGCCCTGAATGCAGTTTGCAGGCATCGCTGAAGCTACGTTCACGGCACTCAAATTTAATTTAGACGGAGCATCGACTGCCGGTTTAACTCTTTCCGGATGTACATAAATTTTTGGGGGTCTAGACATAATTAACCAGTGGCTCGATTTGGCTGTGCAGGTGGTGTACAAAATATAACTTCATAGGCGCATACATTTTTGTCATATATATCCTAATGCGTTGATGTGTAATTGAGGGTTCGTCGTTTTCCCTTATACAGGGTGAGCTCTGAGCCAGAGCTGAAAGGGAAAATGACAAATGGTTGATCAGTAAAGAATCATGATCTGCTTCGTTATCTCAAGGGACCGAACACTTGAAGCAGGCCAAAATATTAAATATATACATCACTGTCGTCACTGACTAAAACCGGCCGACTTAAACCGGTTGTGGATGCTCCGTCTAAACGAAGCTTGAATGCCATGAACGTCGTTAGCCTCAACAGCGCCTTCAAACTGCATTCAGGGCACCGTGAACGTAGCCTGCCAACTATACGTCATTACGTTCATGGCGCCGTGAACGTATTATTATAGCCACTGCAAAATAGTTATCTTCTAGTATATAACACTAGCTCCCCCTTTCGACGAAAGGAATGATCGGTGCTTTAATATCAACTAAAAGTCCTTGGCCTACTATATTTACACTCTACTGGAATCTGGAATTAAATCTTGAGAGGTGCAAAAAATTAGAAGGTCTAGATCTATACTCTCAAAACAAAAAGCGCCTCGAGAAATATCACTTCCGGATTCTCTAAAATTACAGAGACAGAAGCGTCTGCCTACAAAAGCGATCGCCGAAATAAAAAGAAATTTAGCTTTTTTGCAGTAAAACTGTCTCAAAACTGATAAAACCAAGGGTGTCATGATCTGGAGAATATTTTAAAGAATTATTTGGCAAAAACCGCATATTGATCGATGATGCAGCCATTAAAAAGCCTTTTGAATAGCAAAATTGGGCCACCACTCCACAAATAGATAATAGTATTAATAGATAGGCCACCTCTATTCTCACCCGGAGTGAGAATAGTGCAGGCGAGTCTTGTGGCTATTCTCACCCGGTGCGCGTTCACCAAATTTTGCGTTCACCCTAAACCACAGAATTCTACACTGTGATAACAGAAAAATTGTAGAATTCTGTGCCGTGAACAAACGTTCCATTACAACTGTAGCCTACTAAAAGCGTACAATTTTGTCTGTGGGCAGTGGAGAGAGAGAGAGAAAGAGAGAAAGAGAGAAAGGAGTAGCGCGAGAATTTCAGGCAAAACAAAATGGCGACCCGTGTAGTTCGGCTCGATTCGAAAAGTTAAATAGCCGTAGCATCTTTGTAGACAACCAAATTAATTCACTTTTGTGTTTTAACATCATTTTTTAACTTTGTTTTGGTCAATTTGATCGTCCACACCGATAGACAGTATTCAGAAAGAGACAGAGAGAGAGAGAAGAGGGGAGGAGTTGATCTTGCGAGAACTTCCGGGCGGGTGAGAATAGCCACTTTCTAATTAGGCCACCTCTATTCTCACCCGGAGTGAGAATAGTGCAGGCGAGTCTTGTGGCTATTCTCACCCGGTGCGCGTTCACCAAATTTTGCGTTCACCCTAAACCACAGAATTCTACACTGTGATAACAGAAAAATTGTAGAATTCTGTGCCGTGAACAAACGTTCCATTACAACTGTAGCCTACTAAAAGCGTACAATTTTGTCTGTGGGCAGTGGAGAGAGAGAGAGAAAGAGAGAAAGAGAGAAAGGAGTAGCGCGAGAATTTCAGGCAAAACAAAATGGCGACCCGTGTAGTTCGGCTCGATTCGAAAAGTTAAATAGCCGTAGCATCTTTGTAGACAACCAAATTAATTTACTTTTGTGTTTTAACATCATTTTTTAACTTTGTTTTGGTCAATTTGATCGTCCACACCGATAGACAGTATTCAGAAAGAGACAGAGAGAGAGAGAAGAGGGGAGGAGTTGATCTTGCGAGAACTTCCGGGCGGGTGAGAATAGCCACTTTCTAATTAGGCCACCTCTATTCTCACCCGGAGTGAGAATAGTGCAGGCGAGTCTTGTGGCTATTCTCACCCGGTGCGTGTTCACTAAATTTTTCGTTCACCCTAAACCACAGAATTCTACACTGTGATAACAGAAAAATTGTAGAATTCTGTGCCGTGAACAAATGTTCCATTACAACTGTAGCCTGTAGCCTACTAAAAGCGTACAATTTTGTCTGTGGGCAGTGGAGACAGAGAGAGAAAGAGAGAGAGGAGTTGCGCGAGAATTTTCGGGCAAAACAAAATGGCGACCCGCGTAGTTCGGCTCGATTCGAAAAGTTAAATAGCCGTAGCATCTTTGTAGACAACCAAATGAATTTACTTTTGTGTTTTAACATCATTTTTTAACTTTGATTTTGTCAATTTGATCGTCCACACCGATAGACAGTATTCAGAAAGAGACAGAGAGAGAGAGAAGAGGGGAGGAGGTGATCTTGCGAGAACTTCCGGCGGGTGAGAATAGCCACTTTCTTCTAATTAATAGATTATAGATAACTACAATTGTCACTACACATGAGTTCAGTATACTAACACAAACAGTGCTAGCAATACGTGACAAATATTGAAATAAATATCCGTGCCTAGAATCTAGATCTAAATCTAGATCTAGAAGCTAATATAGATCTAAATCTAGGATCCTTTTAGCCTCTTCTAACCTTTTTTTAGTTTTACGACTGCTTATTCAGCGCGGCTATGGTTAAGGAGGGAAGAAAAAGCTTTAAGAAGATCAAGCTAATACAAAAGTATGACAAGCGTCTTCCCACCTGATAATACGATTAAGACACTAATATTCCTGTACAGCTCTCACTACGGGAGCGGAATTAATTTCGGAGATCACTGCATAGAGGGGATAGTGTTTCACCAGTCAAAACTACAACAACGTCGCCATCTTACGTTGCTAAAGGAAACATACACAAGTACATGCGCACAAGACAACACTTCCGGTTTCAAGGGAGACAATGCAGCTGAGACACTTCCGTATTATCTTTGTGATTGTCGACTGACATCAGGGACGACTTCCTGTTGTGAATTCTCTTTGCTTTGCCTACGACTTCTGGATCGACAATAATAATAATGCCTTTAGTTATGAAAATGCCTCCTTAGATTTGAAAAGAGCGAGAAAAAATGGCCTTGGTTACTATTCAACGTTCGCCTAGCCCAAGCACTGACCCTGACTTGGTAAGACGCCGTGTATTGTGCAGTGTGTCTGACTCAACTGACTGTCATGTCATGTGTGTAAAATCTCAATCTCAATCTTGTGTGCCAGTGTGACTCGGTCAAGTGATACAGATCAATAGATCTAGATCTAGTGTTGTTGATGTTTTTAAAAAAAATAGATTCTAGATCTCTAGGTCTAGAATCTAGTCTAGATCTAGATCTAGGTCTAATCTGGATTCTTAGTGGATGTGCACTCCTGACTATAAAATATGGCCTATGGCCTATGGGACAGCATGGTTACTCCCATCCATTTCTGTCAGCTGTGTTATGTTGGTGGCCTTCGTATGTTGGTCATCTCAACTATCTCAAACTTGTCAGCAATCCCTCAGACTCAGCCTCAATCAATGCCAGTGGCAAGTGGATAGCTATTGGCCGATATTTATAATTTATGGCCACCTCTATTCTCACCCGGGGTGAGAATAGTGCAGGCGAGTCTTTTGGCTATTCTCACCCGGTGCGCGTTCACCGTTATAGCCTAGATCTAGGCCAACAAATTTTGCGTTCACCCTAAACCACAGAATTCTACACTGTGATAACAGAAAAATTGTAGAATTCTGTGCCGTGAACAAATGTTCCATTACAACTGTAGCCTACTAAAAGCGTACAATTTTGTCTGTGGGCAGTGGAGAGAGAAAGAGAGAGAGAGGAGTAGCGCGAGAACTTCCGGGCAAAACAAAATGGCGACCCGTGTAGTTCGGCTCGATTCGAAAAGTTAAATAGCCGTATCATCTTTGTAGACAACCAAATTAATTTACTTTTGTGTTTTAACATCATTTTTTAACTTTGTTTTGGTCAATTTGATCGTCCACACCGATAGACAGTAAAAGGCTATTCAGAAAGAGACAGAGAGAGAGAAGAGGGGAGGAGTAGATCTTGCGAGAACTTCCGGGCAAAACAAAATGGCGCCCCCCGTTGTTCGGCTCGATTCGAAAAGTGAAATAGCCATAGCATCTTTGTAGTCGATAAAATTAGCTTACTTTTGTGCTATAACGTAATCTTTTCTTTGCTTTTATCCATTTGATCATCCACATCGATAGAAAGTATTCCGAAATTAGGAAAAACAGGTCTTGTTTTGAACAAACCGGGTGAGAATAGCCTACAGTGGCAAGTCTCACCCGAGTTGAGAGGTCGATCGTATAAATATTTCTATTCTCACATGCCGTGAGTCTCAGTTCTACGCCGCATATCCAGTTGCCCCTACCTTCCACTTATCTGTCCAAAATTTATCGTTTCCATTTTTGACCAAATTTCCCCGCCTTTGACGTTATGCACCATTACATTGTGATCACATCAATTAACATTTAGTCTGTCTCGCGAATTCTGGAATAGAGACAATTTTCTGCTGCAATGATCAGGGAAGACGAAGAGTTCTGTTTGGTGTTACGAAGTGGCTAGCCGTACTTAAGTGCGGCTAGACTGAGAGTCTACGGCTAGACTGCCTGTCTAGCCGTACTTAGATCTAGGTTTGGCCCAATCGACTCAAGCCTGTTAAGTACACAGGTCTCATTAGATCATTAGATCTAGATCTAGTAATTATTCAGGTTCAAATACATGCAAGTCAGTAAGGCACCTTTTGGTTTTGTCTGAAATACAAATACTTTAGGCATTGCAAACTAAAAATTTCATTTACAATTCAGCCATCAATATTAAGTACGGCTAGCCTGACAGTCTAGCCGTCCTTAAGTACGGCTAGCCTGGCTGTCTACCCGTACTTAAGAACGGCTAGACAAGAAGTCTGCCAGTCTAGCCGTACTTATCTTAGGCTCTATTAACATTAGAAAACAGGAGGTTTAAAATACATGCACTGTTATTAAGGCACCTGGTTTCGTCTCAAATACAAATACTTTAGGTACTGCACACTAAAAATGTATATATACAAAA